TAATAAACTGCATTTAACGCCCTAAACAAATGACATTTACTGATATTTAAAAACGTTGAACAACGAAGGCCAAAATCAAATTTTAAAAAATTATGTCAAATATTTTTACTTTCTTCCGAAATACTTTGCGGCGTCAGTGACCGCAACGGATTAGGTGCTGACACGGCGATCTTGACTGAAAGGTAAAGGTCCCGGGTTCGAATCCAGCGGCCCTGCCTTCAAACCAGTCATACTTTCAAAGGGCTTTTTTTTTCAAAAACTCCGAGGACCTATGCAGTTGGGAATCCACGTTAAAAAAATAAATCAAACATCATTTTTTGTAGAATAACATAGAATAACATAGAAAAACATAACATTTTATATTTTTTATTTAACATAATTTATTTGATTGAAAAATATAATATTGAAGTTTACATTAATTATATATGATTGTCTCATTTGTTTTATCATATGATATGTTTATACCTAAACCAATTTTGTATAGATAATATATTACTTTAAGGTCAGATTAATAAGTTTTGTGTTTGGTTGAATTTCGGAGGAAAGATTACCCAAAAATTGTCGATACTGTTGCTGGTATGACTCCAGTATTGCTATTGTTAAATTCACTAGTTTTCGTGGTCCGCTTTACGAATTAATATCTTTCAATTAATTAAGGATTTTAATTGAGATAAAAAAGCCAGTGTCATGAGCGAAAAATGTCAAAATGGAGGGAAAATTCAAAAGGTGGGTTTGAGATGGGAAGTTAGTGTCCGAGTTGATCGAAGTCACGATAGCTCGGGTGGTAGAGCAGCGGCGTATCTAGCCGAAGATCGTGGGTTCGAATCCCGCTCGTGCCATTAACTTTTTTTATCTCAACTAAAAACATTGCTTATTCACTAGTTTCAATTAATTAATCTTTTCATTTCAACCAAACCCATACATAAAAAGATTAATTAATTGAAAGAAGTAATTTGGTCAATCGACCACGAAATATAATAGAATTAATCACTATCCTACATCACACATTGGTGAAACCATGTTGTACCAGAATGCTTTCTGTCTGATTTGAGGTTTTTTGCTAATTTCCTGATTAGATAACTTAAGCCTCAATGTCATTGAGAAAAAAAAGGGTTGCAATTGAAAGAAGAAGAACAGGAAACACTAGGTAAGAGAAAGGTTAATATTTGGAGAACGGGATAGTGTCATTATTTCAAAGCTCGACAAAGAAACTAAGTTTTTAAAAAAAATTAATATGATTTATTATTCAGAAATCGTGTGATGCGGTCTGGTGTTGAGGCACTCTTAACACGACACGCAAGAATGGTACAATACACAGAAGACAAACACTTTGAGCCCTGAAGATGATCTCAATAAAGATCGAAACGTTGTCACGATAAAGCAAATGTTTTTCTGAAACCTACATCACACCAGACCGCATCTCGCGATTTCTGAATAATTATCGATTAAAGGTCACTAATCACCACACATATATGATTTATATTTTTAATCGTCCTCATTACTGATTTGTGTCATGTCCGATTTTTTATTGACTTGTCAGAACAGTTTGAACATATAAATATAATAAATGTCTACACAGATTTTGTAAAAGTGATATTTGTCACGGTGAAGGGCTGTCAACAGGGTTTGTTTGTAGGAAGAGAACTGAAAACATTTGCCACGAAAATAGAACGGTCAATACTTCGTTTCTTCTGTTTTGTAATATTTATTAATAATTTCTGTTTCCATCCTGTAATTGAAAACTGCAGATGGGGCTGAATGTTTTCGCCGGTGGTTTATTTTTGACCCCCAAGTTTGATTGTTGTTTGCCGTTCCGACCAGTCGTCTCGCCGTGAAGTTTGAAACGGCTCGAGTCCCTTCCATAATCAAATAGAAAATTCAGCCGAGATGGTTGGCAAACAAACGTCAGGAAAACCGGTTCTACAATAGAAGCAATATTTGCCTTTGTACTCGTTGAGACCGTATTATCTTCCCTAACCCTACTGTTCAAAAGTAAAGAGATTTTTGTATATAAAAAAATACATTTTGAATGAATAACCGGGTGTTAAATATGTTTTTTTTCGGGCGTTACAAAACATTCCAATTAGAGGGAAATGTACATTTAAACTTACAATAATGACTTCTGTTTTATTCACGGTAAATGAAAAACGTTTTTTGGCTCATGCTATTGTATAATAGCCCGTTTTAAATTTTCAGCTTTGTTACCTAATTAATATAGAATGGCATTGTGTATTACTCATAACAAAACTCAGTTTGATAAAGTCGCTTTATTGTTACTAAACAATTTTACTCTAAAATTTTACCAGTAAAGTTTCGACATAAACAAATCGTTATATTTTATCATCGCTTTTAACCTTAAACACACAACAAACAATAATAAAAACGATGTGCATACTCTTATGTTTGGAATGAAAGGCGATTTTAATGTGTAATTAGTATCTGACATAAATTTAGGACAGTTTTTGCTAAAAGTGAACATATTTGACAACTTGGGATCATTCAAACGCTGAAAACCCCAAAAACAAAAAAATGATCAAAGGTTCATTTTTCAAAATTAGAAATATCGACAACTTTTTCACTCAAGAACACTCTGGATCACGGTATGGTCTTGAAGAAGAAAGCAAATTCAATTGCTACTGCCAAGCTTTTGACCTATTTTATGGTTTTCTTGAAAACCGTCTGACGATTTCTTTGCAATAATGGAAATTGCGTCTTCAAGGAAATTTGAGATCGCCTGTAATACAATTAAATATATCAATATATATGTGAGGTTGTTTTGCTCTGATGATGACCTTCAAATAAGTCGAAAACTTGGCAGTAGAAACTGAATTAGTTTTCTTCTTCAAGACCCTACCGTGATCCAGAGTGTTCTTGAGTGAACAAGTGGTCGATATTTCTAATTTTGAAAAATGAACCTTTGATCATTTTTCAATAGTTCAATTAAACCATTTATTCCATTTCAAACTATAAAAATTTAAAAGATAAAGGAACTGGAATAATGAAATACCCAGTCTTAATCCATCAAAAGCACTGACGAACAAAGATAAAGCTGACTCCATGACCTTATAAAACAGACTTTTCTTCATAAAAATCACGCAGACACACTCACAATAACGAAATGCTTAAACGCAACTTGAAAATCCCGATGGCGAGGATAGGCCAGCATGATCGATTATGACCAGAAAACAGGTTTATCATCGCAGACCACACGAAGAAAACTCATAACTTTCCCAAGTTGTTCCAGGTCTGTCTTCTCCGACATTTTTCCATGAAGACTTTGTACTTTTACCCATCTTTCCACGTCGAACCTAGCTATGTGCCCAATCGAGTTCCGTTTTTATGTCACGGTGGTTTATGCAGAAACGCAAAGTTAAAACAAAAGTTTCATTTTTATATTTTTACTACGTATGAGTACCGTTGATTCACAGCTCCTTATTTTATGTTTCGTATCTTTGTTGGTTTGTGGTAAGCTTTATTGTGTTTTTATTTCAGACTGACCCAGCCTGACTACCGTCTGACTGACGTAAGTAGATTCAAGTATCGGCGAAGTTCGTTTTGTTTCATGTTTAAAAAAACGAGTTATTAATAATGAATTAATTAATAAGAAATTAACATTAGGAACTTTAAATCCATTATATTTAGTGGTCTGATTGACCAAATTACTTCTTTCAATTAATATTCCTTTTTATGTAAGATCTTGGTTGAAATTAAAAAGATAGTGTCGCAAGCGGGAGGTTGTGGGTTCGAATCCCGCTCGTGACACTAACTTTTTCATTTCAACCAAGATCTTACATAAAAAGAATACATTTTGAACTGGCACACGGGCACTACTGGGTCTGTTCACCCAGTGTTGTTTTTGTTTGAGTTATTCAAACGCGTTTCGGCATTACGCCATCTTCAGTGAAAAACTGTCTGTTGTGTGGTCTGAGTAGGGTTTATATAGTATTGCGTCCGTCGCTTGTCGCTGGGGGCGTTGCGTTAGGGGGCGTGGTCTCCATGCTCGTTGGTCGGTCTTGGTGGCGGTTATTTCCATTGTCAGTTATTATTTGTGCGTTGTTGGTTTTTTGTTTTTTCCTGGTGTTGGTTGCGATGTTTTGTTCTTCTGAACGTTTTCGTTTTTTGTTATGAAGTGTTTTTAGTTGTGAGTGATTGTGAGTTTGTTTGTGCGTTTATAAGTTTTCCGTCTTTAAGTGTTATTTGTTTGTATATCTCGAGGTTCTCCAATATGTTTAGTTTTCGTCCTTTTTGTGCGTTGTGTATTAATGCCATGCTTGTTTCTATTGTGTTTGGTTCGTAGTTGTAGTGTATTAAGTGTGCGGCGTAATTTGATTTTCCGTCATTGTCTCTGAAATAACCGCCACCAAGACCGACCAACGAGCACGGAGACCACGACCCCAAACGCAACGCCCCCAGCGACAAGCGTCGGACGCAATACTATATAAACCCTACTCAGACTACATAACAGTCAGTTTTTCACTGAAGATGGCGTAATGCCGAAACGCGTTTGAATAACTCAAACAAAAAACCCGCGAGTGAAGACAGACCCAGTAGTGCCCGTGTGCCAGTTCAACATGAGTTCGCCAACTCGCAGGCCAAAACCCCATCATCTACTATAAAAAGAATAATTAATTAGAAACATTTATTTTTTTATTTTTAAAATTTAATTAAAATTTAATAGTCTAGACTAAGGGGATATCATCGAGAGTTTGACGAAGACACATAATTTCTTTTTCAATTGGGGTTATTCATGGCCACTTAGATGTAGGCATGGTAGATTTATGGAAAATAATAAGTGAACCATTTTCTCGGTGGTAAGTTGTTGTGAACTTTGTTGTAAAACTGAGCAAAATAATATTACGGACTGTTTTTCTGAATTAAGAAGAACATGTAAAACTCTTTCTTGGGCCGAGAAATTACAGATTAGTTAACCGTATATTGCAAAAAGTAGTAAAATAATTTTGTCCAACCAGATGGTTCTAAGGAGCGAATGATCTACTTACTGACTACTCTTATAATGATATCCGCGTCCTGCAGTCTTACGTCCCAGAGAAGCGGCAGTACCTCGTCTATAATTTGGGCCCTGTCCAACCTGTCGAGCGTTTTCTCGATGCAGCTCAACACGTTAAGGACTAATTTGAGATCGGCGGAATTTTTTTCGTAGACAGCCTTCATCTTCGGGAGGACCATTTTTCTTATCGACGTCTCATCAAGGTACTCGGAAACGTTCGTGACGGCGACGAGTGCTGCACTCTAAAAGCAAAAATAATACATGAACTTATACAGGTTTTACTTGCGCAAATAAAACAACATTATATTTAATTCTTGAAACATGACCACAAAGGTACTGCCATAATTTCAAAATAATTAACATTACATGAAATTATTATTACTATATTTTTTCTATTAATTAATCTTAATAAAAGGTTTTGGCTGAGATAAAAATGTCAGTGTCATGAGCGGGATTCGAACCCAGGATCTTTGGCTAAATACGCCGTACCACTTGAGCTATCGTGATCTCGATCCGCTCGGACACTAACTTCCCATCTCAACCTCACCTCTCGAATTTTTGCCATTTTTTTTAATCTCAAACAATACCTTTCATAAAGATTAATTAATTGAAAAAACTTAATTGGTCAATCGGACCACGAACTGTAATGGATTTAATTATTATATTTATTCATATTAATTAAGAAATTATTTACGCATTTAAGCAAGTAATACTTATTTCAAAGTATATTCAGGCCTTAGTAGTGAGCTAGGAAAATTATAGAACATCGTAGTATAGAATGAAACATCGTTGGTTCGAATCCCGCCTGTGAGACAATTTTTTCAATTCGAAAGCTATGCGTTCGTTATACGAAGAAAAAAAATGAATCGGTATGTTATAAATATGAATATGGTTATTTTATATAAATTCACCTTTTCAATTTCCTCATAAACATGTTACATGCTAATGTATAATATTTACATGGTAAATTAGTTCGTTAGTTTAGATACCATCATGAATAATGAGCCCTAGATTCAAATAAATAAATGATTGTATTGTTTAAACATTATCAAAATTTTCGATTGTCCGAAATTTCGAGGGAATCACAATTTTCAAATCATATTTAATCTTTTACGCTTTATCGTAAAACAGAAAAATTTTCAATTGCTCATTGATTTCAAGCATTATCTACTAATCCCTAGAGGTTACGGTTTATATTTGTTGTTCTCGTGAATTCTGCAGGTCGCAAATCGATAATAAAATAAACTCTATCTCTGCTGTGTCAGTTTATACTGACTGACATTGCTTCTCTATGTATATTATGAATTTTTGAATATTTATTACCTTGCATCATAGGGCATAAATAACTACATGAAATTTTTATTATTATTTTTTTTACGAGTTTATTTATTATACGTAGAAGGTATTGACTAAACAAAAACATATATATATATATATACATGTTAAAAAGCACANATTAAGGTTTTTAGTTGAGATAAAAAATTCAATGGCACGAGCGGGATTCGAACCCACGATCTTCGGCTTGATACGCCGCTGCTCTACCACTTGAGCTATCGTAACCTCGATCCACTCCGACAGTAAGGCCTAGTACACACAAGGCGTTGAATCGCGTGATCGATCGCGCGATAATACGCGCTTGCTGCGTACACATTGTCACGCTTGAACTCACGTTTTTGGTTCAGTCTCATAATGGAACTCGAAGAAGTAATTTGTTTATGGTATCTCTACCGTCATTATAAATCAAGAAGACACACACAAAGGCAGTATTGGATTCATCCTATTTTATGTTCGCAACCCTCTATCCAAAGTGGCGTGAATATGAACCAAAATTTCTCAATTATTTTAGAATGTCAGTTTACTTTTTGGCAATTCGTTGGACTTGATAAAATGCGATATTTCATTATCATTTCAATGTATGAGGGAATCCATCTCGGCAGAAGAAAAACTCGTCATAACGTTGAGGTAAGTGTATTTATTTAATTTTTTTTTTTAAATAATGGTAGACAGTATATGAATATTAAAGATTAAAAAAAGATCCAAAACTTCCGAATCATGCACTACCCGTCTGTGGAACAACCGCTGAACTACTTGCATGTGAAAAACGTGTAGGTTCATGATGAGCTGACATCACTAGTGATGGTATGCTCGATATCAAAAATATCCGTCTTTTCCGTCATCGCTTGGAAATCGCGCGTTCAACTGAACAGTTGTACTAGGATGTAGGTACCTCGAGACGTTGGTCAACCGCGCGGTAGTTGGGGAAACTTTGAATCGCGCGTTAGAGCGCCTTTTGATCAAAAGCGCGCGTTACTACATGTCCGCTTCTATTACCTCCTTGGTATTTCGCTAACACGCGTTAGACCGATCGCACGATTCAACGCCTTGAATGTACTAGGCCTAACTTCCCACCTCAACCCCATGTTTTGAATTTTTCCTCCTACACACTGAACAAAACAAACATAAATGTAACTTTTTACAAATCGTTTACATCAACAATGTTAAGCACAGCATCAATTACAAAACAGACACATGTAAACTCTGTCGGAGCCAATTTCATTAATCAAATTCAGTATCGATAACATAAATATATCATCATTACATCACATAAAACATATAACATATAAAACATCACATTCCATACAACAAATATTTCTACATAGTCTTTATGTAAGGTTTTGGTAGAGATAAAAACGTCAGTGTCACAAGCGGGATTCGAACCCACGACTTTCAGCTAGATACGCCGCTACTCTACCACTTGGGCAACCGGAGGAAGTTAGTGTCCGAGTGGGTCGACGTCACGATAGCTCAAGTGGTAGAGCAGTTTTTTATTCAGCAATATTTAGCCAAGGTTCGTGGGTTCGAATTCCGCTCGTGTCACTCACTTTATTTTCTGAACCAATACTTTATTTAAAGATTAATTAATTGAAACGGATTTATTTGGTCAATCGGACCAAAAACCTAATGGATTGTATCAAGTTTTAAATTTATTTGTAAATAACTTTTCTATTCCTCAATATATGGTTGGATCTGGTGAAAATATGAACGTTGCATAAGTTACGAATGATGCATTATTGTAAAAAATTGTAATTTTTTATCGATAGCGTTTTGATGATAATTTAAATGATATAGAAATAATTTTGTCAATATTTACTCAAATTTTCTTAATTTGGTTTAAAGAACATTGGGTTAATTTGAATTTCGAGAGTTTCAGCCAAATCTCGGACATGTTCCGACAAAATTCAAACTACCGGCTCGACAGTTAATCAACTCGACACCCGGTATAATTAAACAATAACATGTTTTTCAAGTCTGAACGTTCCCTGGTCATAACTGGCTGAGCCAGTGCTGGTTTCCCTTAACGCTGAAATATGTGACTACAATGTTTGTCATGTCATACACGGCCATACAGGTAATATACGTGCAAGCCTGTCAGTTCTGGAGAACAATTTAAATTTATTTAACAAAATGAAGAGTAGTAACTATTGATTTGATTCAAAATTTCAAAAAAATTACCATATAAAAAAATGAAATTTGTATCTTTCATTGCGACACTAGGTAAATTAATAAAACAGTTATTTTTAATATTCTGGAAAACTTTAATAATTCATGTTAATGTACATCAAGCCAATTAATCAGCGAGAAAATTCACAAAGGACACGTAGCCGGTTAAAATAACATTTCCTGCGCACCTGCTGACCTGCAGAAATTGGAGTAGAAATCGATGCGACTGCAAAGAGGCCTCTCTGAGCTGCTTTGCATAAAAATACTTACCCCTTCTCCACGGGAAGAAATCTTAAGGAAACTCCAAGAAAGCACCTCTCTGAAAGTTACTTGCTCTTGTTCAACTTCGGAAAGAGAAAAATACACCGGGTTACAAGTGTGGTGACGTATTTGCTTTGAAAGTGAAACGCTTATATATTTCTTTTTATATCCCTGGTTGAAATGGATTTGTGAAGAGATCAACAATGGCCAAAATATATGTTTTTTATCCTCTTTGGCTTCAAAGGAAGCCTAGAATATTTCATATTCCTTTTGTATATCGTAATTACTTTAATGACATGTATTGATAAGAAATCACTGTTTACAGAAAAATTTCCTCATGCTTCCTTATCATTCTTCGTTTCATTTAGTCTCCAGGAAGAACAATGGCAATATGTACGTATACGGATTTTCTCATAGACTTAAGCGAAGTTTATCTCAGGATTTATAGTGAGAGGACCAAACTGTTCTCATCCCTCGAAAAAGAATTTATTAATAATGGCTCCTCTTATATTGGCATTCCGTTCAGTATCTTTCTCTACGTGCCTTTCATTTTCTCACAAGGACGTAGGCCGTATTAAAAGCTTATTCATAAATAGCATTCTTTACAGTGATGCCTTGTCCTTCCTCTTAACAGCATAAAAAGAATGAAAAACAGCAGAAACAAACTCTTTAAAAAATTTAATCATTCGTTCTTAATAGTTTATTAGATGAATTTCTGCAATTTATATATACACACATATTTATCTGTATTAGTTGAAATACAAAGAAAACACCGCAAATAGAAAACGCTGATATAAATGTATAAGCATGAAAATGTTCAGCCATCGAGCAGAGATCACATACCCAAATAGTACCTAAGTGCGATAATGTGTGGGTTTGTTTGCATATGATAATTCTCTGTTGTATGACTATTTGATCTATTGACTATCTTCTTCTATTGAGTTTTTTCCTGCCTCTTTATATATCACACGGTTTTTACCAATTACTACCAAAAGTGCTTTCATTTATACATGTTCCTAAATCAATGTGACGTACTTGACTTTTTCTGCATGTACGTGTTTACGTTGTTGCCAAAAAACATATGCCCTCTAAAACTAATATATACTATATATACTATATTATTTTAAAAACTACAGTTGAGAAGCCAGCAGAGTGTTCATAACCTAGACGTTCTTCCATGATTCACGCTAATAAATACATTCGCACAATGTAGAAATTTAATAAACGTTGGGTACCCGGCATGGATTTAATATTACTTGGTGACTCACCACGCCTATCACACTCATACAACTAATCTACCAAATCAACAGGCTCAACAGGTATTTCATATTTTATCACAGACCCATCCATATATACACACATTTCAGCGTAAATAATTCACACGTAGGGATAGTCACGGTGATTTTGTATTTCTACAGTGCCCTACTCCTTTCTTTTCATGCTATATATAGATATTAGGCTAGATTACTTTGGCCGTAAA